CTGGCGATTCATCAGACGAAGGTACCGCTTCAGTGACAGTAGTGGCCTCACTGGCTGGCATCTCTTCTGTAACAGGTACCTCGTCGACAACGATGGCGTCTTCAGCCTTTGGTGCTTCTTCGCCTGCAGATGCTTCTTCGGCAGTAGGTGTGCCATCCACAGCTGAGACTTCTTCGGGTACCGGTAGTTCTTCAGTAGGCGGGGTATCGTCAGCGGTGGGATTGTCTGTAGAAGAAGTCTCTCCAGTAGCGGGCGTGTCTGAAGCATCAGAAGTACTATCAGCCTGAGGAGCCTCTTCAACGGCGGCAATTGTCTCCTCAGCAACCGGTGCCGCTTCACTCGCAGGCGATGCTTCGGCCGAGGATGGCTCTTCAGTAACAGGGGTGACTTCAGTGACTGGAGTATCTCCAGGAGCAGATTGTTCCTCATTGTCAGCCGATTCTGGAGAAACAACTGTCTCGTCCGCCGCGGGTACCTCTTCAGCCGATGTTTGTATGTCCGCAGAGGTCGGTTCTTCACCAGATGATGCTACTTCGCCACTGGGTGTCTCTTCAGCTGTGGATGTTTCCACCTCTCCAACAGCAGAAGTCTCCTCGGTGATTGGCGGATCGTTGATCACCGGAGCTTCTTCAGGAGCAGGAGGTTGTTCCTCGACAGCGGGTGCCTCTTCTACAGCAGAGGGTAGTACTTCGATTGCAGTCGATTCCCCAACGGTAGTCGTGTCTTCCGCTGCTAACTCACTAGCAGCCTCGCCCACAACTGAGTCCTCCGCCGGTGCTGGTGCTGGTGCCGCTTCAGCAGGGCTCTCCGCTTCGACTGGTTGCTCTTCGTCTGAAGAGGCCACCTTGGGCTCAACCACATCTACACCGTCTGCCGAAGCTTGTTCTTTTTCAGGTTCCGCTTCGACGGGTGGCTTTGTATCCTCACTCATAGTACTTGAACCTTCCACCGGCGGCTCTGGTGTCGCAGCAGGTCCTTCGGAACCCGCATCTGCTGTCGGCTCGTCCGAAAAGGCAGGGGTGTCTTCGATTACAGGATCATTTGCGGTAGTCTCCTCTGCTACGGCTTCAGTAGGGGACTCGGCAACGACAGGCTCGTTGCCTTCGGTGGTAGGGCTGTCTGTGACTGCTGCTTCATGCTGTGCCTCCACAGTATCCTCACCAACAGCAACCTCGTCTTCTACAGTTGGAGTATCGTTCGGCGGTGGTGGCGGCGGTACGGCCTCGATTACGATCGATTCTGAAGCGGCTTCGGTAGGTTCCTCGATGATAACGCTTTCGGAGACGACCGAAGGGGATGCATCTCCGTCGATGATCACGACCGACCCGTCGTCACTTGGTGATATACTACCGTCATCACTGCCTCTCTTTCCTCCTGACTTCCTCATATCCCCCTTCATCAACTTCTCACTAGTGAACGCTGAGAACATTGAACCACTTCGCTCCTTTTTCATGATGCTGATTGGAACCATAGCATTCTTCTTTCCGTCCTTCGGCGGCGACGCAAGGGGAACGGATTTCGATGGCTTTCTAGGACGAACAAACGCGGTGGGCTTGCCTTTACCATACTTCTTCTTCTTGCCAATACTTGCGGCGTCTGGGTCTTTGGTGTCAGAGGCAAAATGGACAAACTTCTCAGTTGGGGATTTCGGGGGCTCTTGAGCGGCCTGCTCGGACTCACCACTCTTCTCACTCTCAACGACTACAGGCTCAAGTGTTGCATCCGCTGGTGGTGCTGGCGGCGGAGGAGGCACGGGCTCACTAGGGGGTACTGGCAAAACCTCTGATGTCGGCAGCCCTATTACCGGTACTGGCGAAGCTGGTGGAGGCGGTGATACTTCAACGCTCGTGGCATCGCTTGATCCCGGAGGTTCATCTTTAACATCCTCAGTCACAACTTCGGCTGCCACAACATCGTCCCCACTACTGGAGGCAGCCTCTGCTTGTTGTGTCGGTGGGTCTTCGGGTATAGTTTCTGCTGGGACTGTTGCTACAGGTGTATCTGTTGTTATCGAAGGTTCTCCTGGGGGAGGTACTTCTGGTATGGCTGGAGGTGCGGCCTCTGCTAGCGTGGCTTCTGCCACAGGTGGTAAATCTGAAGCATCTGGTGCTGTCGAGGCGATTCCTGGTTCTACAATGGTCAATTGGACATGTTAGACATAACGTATTCCAAGCATACCTGCTTGATCGTCATCGGTGCGCTTATCATCAATTACATGTGCAACGCCCGTATAAGAGAATTTTGGAGGAGGCGCAACCACCCGGCGATAGAGAGGTTGAGCCGGTGGTTGGGGCGCGGTAGCATAGAAGTTCTTGCCGGTGTTTGTGTTGGGGCCGGCGTATGGGTTCGCCCATGGCGATATCGAGACATTGTCGAACTGGCGCATGGTGGATCAAACAAAGTCAATGCGGTGTTTTGAAACCAGATGTTCGATAAGTTGTGCTACACGCTATAGATGTTTTCTTCGTTCCATAGCTGATGACAACAAAAGGTAGGCATGCAATGGCGACATGAGACGTGGGGTGCGAGCATTGATTGCGGAGAGACGAATGAGAAACGGATCAGTCTAGACGGAAAGCACAGAGGGTGGAGGTATGCAACGTGCGTGGCTTCAATCGGCCAAAGCTGGACGCAGCACTGAGATCAGACGAAAGAGAGGTGCAGGACAACTGTCACAAGACATGATGCGAGAAATCGTAAGGAGATGCCTCGCATTGTGGGCGCAATGGTTCGGTAAGCCTCGGATTGGCATGCGCGCATGCTTCCACAGGCTCACGCTGAGAAGGCGAGTTTGGCCTGTATGTCTAATTGGTCCACGTAGGGAAACGCAGTTCGTTCAGGTTGATAGAGTTGGAAGCCCGGAAGGTGGGGTTTTCGCTGCGATGGCTTTTCGATTATTGGCTCGATGGCGCTTTAGCTTGCAGTTGTGTCGCCAGCGTGGATCGTGGTGCAGCGTTGGGTTCAACGGCCAAATTTCCGGCACCGGAAGGCCTGAGAGCGTAAAGTGCGGCAAAGCATCAATTAGCAAGGTCTGCCCTTCTAACAACCTTCTCGACACCCAAGGGAGGGCCGGCGCTGCAGGGGCATGCATGGGCACGTATGGGAGAGTCATGGCAAAGAGGGAAAAAGTGAGGTGGTTGATGGATTGAGTGACGTGGCGTGGCACGCACATGGGGCCCGGGGAGCACTAAGCGACTAACTCATGAGGGCCGACCCGACTCAAGTCGTACCTGGCGACGTGGGACGCTCACAAAGAAGACACCATCGTGACCCCACCACCAAAATCCTTGGTACAACAAAGCAAAAGCATTGCGGCGTGGAGGGGCATCCGGTGACGTCGACTCTAGTCGCTGCTCCAGATCGCGATGCTGCGACTAGACTTCCTCGCCACGTCCAATCTACGACCTAGAGCATTGGTGACGTGCATCCAACCGACGATAGGTGGAATCGATTATGCAGCGGCTATCGAGGATTTTCGAAAAGGCGAAGAGGATGAGGAAGATTACCCAAGGTAGCGGGCGAATCTATTGTCAGTACGTGTTCGCAGTTCGGTGCTGCACGCCCCAATCAACATAGATGAGTAGATTACCTATGCTGCAGACGAGCATGTCGTCAGATGCGCTCATGTAAGCAGGCATATAGAAACGAAGTCAGATCACGTGTGTAGCTTACTTTGGATCAGAGAATCATTTCGATGCTCACTAGAAGCGATCTTCGCTACCTAGGAACAGCCCGGAGTGTCTAGCACTCTTTTTTATCACGTGTTCACGTCGGCCCAGCTGTCTGACATGACGATGTCTCGAAACGGTTTGGAGGCTTGCAAACACAAGCCTTTCATCATCGTTCCAAACTCACAATGGTCATCTTGCTCGAGCATCTCCGCCTTATCTTTTGTCTCGACCGTCATACCCACCTCCATGACCTCAAGCCACTTCCGATTGACCTCTACGTCTTCTCTGCAAATCCCACAATCTATCTTGTTTCCTCTATGCTTCTTCTTCTCACTCTGCGTCGTTGTGACATGAACATCAGTTGTCGACCACTCGCTCTGCGCAAATGTGTGCCAAGTAGTGAGGTTCATAGTTGGCACTGAGGTTGACGAAGCAGAAGTGAGAGTTATAGCAGGGGTCCTTTCGAAATAGTCGCTATCTTGCAACAAGATAATCTGAGGGCTTTGTTCTGCGAGGAATGCGTCTACTCTCAGCGGCGATGTGCAACGTCTTGTTGGGTTGAGTGTTCTTATCAAGTCGAGCGCTTCCCCCCATTCTGGGCTTCTCTCGGAGCCGTAGCGTTGCCATACTTTTCGTAATTTTGTGGCACTGATAGCGGGTAGGGTCCAACGTGCTTTTGTTGTGTTTGGCCGGAGCAGATGTGTTCTCGGTGACGATGACGATGAGGAGGATGGAGAGCAGACCAGACATTTTGCTTGGCGTTCTGGATTGGGGTGAGAACATGCCCAGCATGGAGTGATGTTGGAAGACATGGCGTTCGCCTTGGCGTTATGTATTTAGTGCAGTGAAGTATGTGAAGGTGGATACGAAGTCATTTCGAAGACATCATAGGAGAAGACGGAGGCAGAGCAAGAGATACTGGAAATATGAAGCAGGTGTCGAAAATTTCTGAGCTGTCCCGCCTTACAGGCCTGTTGGTTTTCCAGGCGTTATCTGGCGCGAAAATTGATATAGATAGAGCAAACCATGGTTCTAGTGCAATATGTGGCCAAGCACTGCAAAGGCACTCAGGCAACACTTTGATCACAGTTGACGTCCTGCACCCTATTTTGCAGAGGTGCAGCTGGAAAATTCAGTGTTATCTCACTTGTTTTCATCCCTCTTTCCTAGTCACTCCTACGACGCAAGCCCATGATTTACGCTGCTTGAAATGGGAAGGTGCAAATGGCGACAGGCCTCTGTCCACATCGATTCTCACATCTCCACTCGACGCCGCATTGCAGAGCCTCTCATCCATCTCGCCTCCGTCTTCGCGCTCGCTACTGGAGAATGGCGAACATCACCTCCGCGACGCAAGATGGCGCGCGGTTCACCAAACCAGGTGAGCACCCACCCCCAGGGCTCGACTGCACCTGCCATGGCATCCATTCTATAATTCCAAAGGATTTTGCCTAACAACTGCAGCGGATTGGGCTCTCCACATGGTCACCGCTTCACTGAAGTTTTCTTGTTCGAACGACGCGCCAGTCTCGTACACCACGCCTGATGCTGGTCGCCTTGGTGTGCTTAACGTACTCAATTGGCATGAGGCTCATGACGACTACGAATGGCCTGATTTCATCCAGCTTGGTCATGACTTCACTCAGGCGATGCGGTTTCGGCGCGGTCTCGTGAATGATGTCTTCCTGGCCCTTGAGAAAGCTGGTGTCATCAAGATCACTGGTGAGCCTGGTGTACTCGGAACGCCACAGAGCTCCGCGGTTAAGAGAAGAGCTGGCGTGAGCGGTAGGTGTCGTACACCTGCCTGGCCATCGACGTACTGACGGAACGAGTAGTTGCCATACGTATGTCCGAGCGAAAGCGTCATTGCAGTCGTGAGAGCTCCAGCAACGAGATCGCCTCTGATAAAGAAATACCATACTATGAAACCGATCGTTTTCTTGCTAAGAGTATGCGTTGCTTGATCGAGTACGCTGGCTTTCCTGTTGATGACTGCATCGCTGGCCTTGAGGAGGGCGATCATCTTTCTGAAGAAGATCTTGCAAACACCATTAAAGACCTTGTGGCCCAGGTCTGAATGCTGAGGACGACCCACGATCCATGAAGCGTGTTGGGAACATTGCTTTTTCCAAGAGCGGCAGTGAACAGGCACCTAGAATATCGAGCCCCGAGCTCTGAACAAACAACGGCAGAGCCCAGTGTAAACACTTGGATGCCACGAGCTCCCCCTTTGCTCATTGAGAGAGCCATGACAGAGAAATTATGGTTGGGGGTATCAGTTTGACGATGTCCTAAGGACTGTCTATTTCGCTGTGACAACAAAACAAGGACACCAGGAAGTTGTCAGGAACGAAGTGGAACTAACGTGTGGGTACTTACATATACCTGCTGTACAATTCAAAACAAATCTACGACATTGCAAATAGAGAATCGCATTGTTGCCGTATATGTGGGTATAACTCGTCGATCATATCTTCGTAAATGAGAATCATTGCCGTACTTTCATATTAGCACCCAGTCCACGGCCATTGTCCACCTATCCTCTCCAACATCAACTTCCCACATGGGTGCGCGAATACCAACCACGCTCCCCGTCTTGACGAGCACACCTCCTGAGGCTCTAGCACCACCTTGACCAGCTAGCAAGATTCTTATCGGGCTATCTTCAGCCCCTGTACTCCCTGCTCTCGAAGCGTTATACATGCCAGGCTCGGTATTGCCACGTGCAAAGACGATGCCACCTGAATAACACTCCACTTTATCATCTTCCTGCGGTTGGTCCCCGCCTCTCGACAGGTTAGTCACCCTTACTCGCAACTTAACGCCGTCCTCCTTATCACCACCACAGACCATAGCACTCCTGTCCTGCGCAGCAAAACCAGTATTTGCCGTCTCTATGATCCAGCTCGTCACTGTCGATGCTAGACCGTTGGGTATGTATTTGCCATTCTTGCGCGAAGGAGAGAAGATCTCAGGGAGCGGCCGGGAGGGCTTTGGTGGCGATGTAGGTAGCGCGGGAAGTATGAAATGCGGGCGTTGCGGTGCAGCTGCTGGCATGGACGTCACTGCTGCAATGCTAGGAAATGGCGCAGGGGTATGTGGTAGGGGGACTTTGAAACGGTGCGTCTTTGCGTTTGATACGGGTACCGGTGTAGAGGGTTCAGACAGTCCTTGGAGCGAAGGAGAGCTTTCTGGAGAGATGCGACGACGCTTGTTCATCTGGACAGATTCGAAAAGCATCTCATCTTCCCGGTCTGCTTCTTGTTCTACCCAATGGCCCAGCTGTGTGTCGCCACCTTCAATGGACTGTATGATAGCCTCACCATTCTCATCCTGCTCTGACTGGCTTGATTGAGACGGTTCCTCTATGCTTTCTATCCGCTCGAATTTCCTTCGCGGCTTTGCAAGCGGCGTGGAGTGGGCGAATGTGTCCTCGTGTGCTTCACCGTGCTTCTCCTTGGCGACTCCAATTGCTGGTCGTGGCGGCGCAAGTACAAAACGTTTCGCAGGCGTCAGTTTCTTAAGAGGTAGCTCAGATTTCGGCTGCGCTAGTTTGCTGGATGCTGGCGTTTGTACAGCGAGAGCGTTGCGCAGACCGGATTGAGGTTTCTTCAGCTTTTGGGTTGAAGGCGGATTGGGTGCTAGGAAGCGGTGCGGGGAGGGCGTGTGGGTTGACATGGTCGGAGTAACATGGGCGGTTCGGGCAGCCCTGATATGGCCGGTAGGTGACGTTGGGGGTGGTTATCGTAGGTGGAGGTAGGATCGTGGTGGCGAGGCTGCCAACTCCAAAGCCAGCCAGCGCAAGCGCGATGCGGTCGCGAGAACACGGACGCGCGCAGTCACGGGACAGGAACGTCACATATGCATCACGCCCATAATGGACGCGTGCAGGACTCTCCTACATTTTGCCAACTGTTCATCGTCGTTTAGAACAACCTCAGTCGTGTGGGAGGCTGCACAATCTTTTTGCTTACATAGAAATGACGCGACGCGACGCTCTCAACATACTCGATAGGTGCGTGGGTAGCTGCAGTATCAATCGCGGATCACATGTCAACATCAAGGCGACTGAAGAGCATTCGGAACCTCGGGAATCTCTGCAGAGATAAGCTTCACCACGCTTAGATGTCTTCTGGATGTCAATTGTCACTCGAAGGATGTATTGCATCCAAGCTTGGACAAAATCCCACGCGCAATCTCCACAAAATGGATGAATCAAGGATCTTTCTTGATGCCGGGCGAATCGGGGTATTGCTGTTGGGCGGCAATTCGCAATCCGGTGATACCAGCCATCTTTCGCAGACCTGATTTGGGTCTGTGGGATCGCAATGGGGTGATCTCACGATTGGCGCCGGGTGATCAACGGTATCCTGGCAGAGCCTCGTCTCCATAGGAACATGCGCCAAACCTAGCACAGAAGAATCGAATAGACGCATGGACTGCGAGTAGCACAGAGAGGCAGCGCATGGAACAACCAAGTCGGGGGTGTGTGAGATTTTAGTAGACGTGTTTTGTCTGGAGATGCATGGTTGAGCGTGGAGTGAAGATGATACAGCCGGACAGCTGGGGTCTTGCAGGCTCACGCAAGGCGGGTGCGAAAGCGGGCCAAGGACCAGATGCAGTGTACGTACTGCAGATGGGTGCTACGCGTGTGTGTACATGCCGGAGAGCCCGTTACAGCCGGCAAGTGTTGCGGTTAGTGAGGCGATGGCAGCAGACTGACCGGCCCAGCCACAGAATATGACATAGCCCCAAAGGAGTGCAAACAATAGCGCGACAGGCGTTCGCAGCGAGATGGGGCTAAACAAGAAACTTGAGACTTCGCGTCTGCAAGGGACGACCCTTTCAGCCTTAATGATCTGACCGGGGAAGAGCGTGGTAGGTCCACATGGTGGCTCAGGGCGTGTGATTGGTGCTGCGGGGGCTCGGAGAGGCTGGAGCCAGCCACATGAGGATGCGTAACATAGGAATAGAACAACACCCGCGAACCCGATCCACCCCAAAACACGCTTGCATCTTGCATCCACGCCTAACCTCTGCTTCTGCACTGTCGCTCTTTTGTTTTGCCTCGCCGCCTCTCTCTCTCACTCCCTCATTGCAGCTTCACCTCCTCCCCCCCGTCTTGCAATTGCAGCGAATGCGCCTTATCGCCGCCAACGACGCTGCACTCGCGGCCATCCACGCCCACCGCCCACTCTCGCTCGACGCGCCTTCCCGCCCCAAGTCCCTCACCCGGGCCATTGCCGCAGCATGGCGACCAAGGCGATGAATCTCCCCAACTTTGGCGGAGCTCATGCAGCAGGCATCTTCTCCGACATGACGGTCGACGGGCCGGTAATAGGCACCCTGGTTGTCATCATGGACCGCGCCCGAAATCTGCCCAACAAGAGGACCATGGGAAAACAGGACCCGTACTGCGCTGCCCGGTTGGGCAAGGAGGCAAAAAAGACGAAGACGGATAAACGAGGCGGCCAGACGCCCAAATGGTACGTCCCTCTTAGACATATTTCGAATCCATCGCTGACACATGCAGGGACCAGGAATTGCGCTTCACCGTCCACGACTCGCCCGACTACAACCGCCTCAAGGTCTCCGTCTTCAACGACGACAAGAAGACGGAGCTGATTGGCGAGGCTTTTGCCAATCTCAACTCCGTCATCACGCCCGGCGGAGGACAGAGTGACGAATGGCTCGGCCTCAATTGCAAGGGCAAATACGCCGGCGAGATCCGGATGGAGATTACCTACTACGATACCCGCGAGAAGAACGAAAAGCCAGCACTGCAGAAAAGGAGAGAGTCAGCCAAGCCAGAAGGCAAGGCTGCTGTGGGTGGAGCGCGCGAGATGGCACCCGTCAAGCGACGTCCGCTCCCCAACGACCCGACAGGCGCCACACCATCGCCCGTGCATACTCCAGAACAACGAGGACTGCGGGGTGTCAGGGCCGGCCCACGAGAGCTGGGCTCGCCGCGACACCAGCGGACACCAACTGACCCGTCACCAGCACACCGGACCCAGTCGGATGCACCTTCACGCAGGCCTGTGCCAGAATCCTCCCCCCTAAACCCCGCGTCTACGTCGAGCCAGATCACCCCACAGCGTCCCGCGCCGCATGCGTCGTACAGCACACCTCCGAATCCACGCTCGTCGGCCCAGAGGATGCCTATGGCGAGGGAAGAGAGCTTCGACATGTCCTATGCTGCCCCCAAGCCATATGAAGTGAAGCCGATTGATCCTCTACCACAACGCATCAGGCACTCGGAGCAGAGGAGGATGTCTCAGGAAGATGGTCAATCTCCAAGAACCCAAGCGTTGCAACACCCCGAGCCAGTACATTCTCACTCGGCCCCAACGGTCCCGACGCAGCACACCTATGAGTCCCCGGCACAACAGCAAAAACTACAAGAGCAGCAGAAGCAGATTGAGTATCTCCAGCAACAGTTGCTTCAGCACCAGCAGCATGAGCCTCAACGGATTGAGCCGGCCCCGCAGCCAGCTCGGCCAGTTCAGCCACCTCAGTCGTACGCGCAAGACCAGTACCAAGATCCGACATACCAGGTTGCGCCCCTGCGAAGCAGTCGTAGCCGCGAGCATCCTCAGGAGCAGGCTTCTCCAGTCGACCAATACTATGGTCAGCGATTCATCGAGGCACCGCCCCTACACGACGAAAGCCCTACGCATCGCAGACGTAGTGCCATGCAGCCCATGGTGGAAGACGAGGATGACATGCCGCCACCGCCGCCCATGCACAAGCGCAATGCCAGCACCTTGCCTCACCCTAACCAAGAGAGCTCTGACCGTTACCGCAACGACGGCCCAGCGCCACTCAGCTTTGCATCAAGGTCGAGAGGAGATTCACTTCCCTACAGCTACGATATGCAGCCTCAGCAATATGAGCCCGATCACTACGCACCTCGACAACCTTCTGAACGACGGTACACTCACCCTCGCATGCCAACACAGGGCTCAAGTCGTCCCGTATCTCGTGATGCTATGGTGCCGTCCCCACTAAGACAGGAAACACTGCGACAGGAACTACCGGCGCTGCCAACCAGTCTCATTGCTGGGCTGAACCCGG